ATTCTATAGGGAGGAGTCTATTTTATGAACATATAACCCTCTTGAAAAAAGAAAAATGGGATAAGTCAAGTACATTACAGAATGTTAACGTAAACGTGCCGAGGAAAAGTATGAAAGGCATTGTACTACTATTCACAGAAAATTCAGTTAATGATAGTGAAAATTTTGAATTTCCTTTAATTGATTCAATTTCCGTCACTATCGAAGGCGTACCAAATTGTATTTTCGCTCAAGGCATGAATAAAAAAGTATTTTATGAAGAAGCAAGAAAATTTTTTGATAGAAATATCCCGATAGATTGCTTCATGACAATTGAAAAATTTTATAAGGATAAATTTGCATTAGTTATTGATTTACGTACTTTTCAAGAAAAAAATATTGCGGGAAACGGGAAACGAATTATTAATACTCAAAATGGTGTTCTTCTAGAAATTAAAAAAAGAGCATATACAAAAGATTTAAACTGTTACATTTATGTTATTAGTGATGCTATTATTCAATTCATTAATAATGATCTCCAAAGTATCCAATACTAGAATAACCAGTAATATATAAATGAATACACCCTTTAATATGATTATTTTAGGTATGACTGCTTGCGGGAAAAGTCATCACCTTCTCACAATGTTAGAAAAAAACTTTAATAGACATTTTGATTACATAATTTTATTATGTCCAACTTTATCATATAATAAAACCTATCAAGAATGGAAATATATAAATGATAATGATTTAATTAAGGTAGAATGTGACCAAGATCAGGTAGATATTGTTTTAAAATATGTGAGTGATGTATATAAAGGTACAAATAGTCTTATTATACTTGATGACTGTGCAAGTTGCCTAGATGTTAAAAATAGGACATCGGAATTAGTACGATTAGGGTTCAGTGCTCGTCATTATGGGCTTTCTACTATTGTTGTTACACAGCAATTGACAAGTATTACCAAACCTTATCGCGAAAATATAAGTTATTTAGTTACATTTTATAATACAAACCGCAATGATATGAAAACAATATTTGATGATTATCTTTATGGTGTTGAGAAAGATGATATAGAAGAAATAACCAAAAAATTGAAAAATAATAAGTATGCACATTTAGAAATTCAACTTGTATTCCCATACAAATGGAAAATTGTTATTCCGCAATAAAATATGTGTTAATATATATATGCCAAAGCGTAAAGAGCCTGAAACAATTGATGATCTAATTAATGAGATTGATTCCGCAAATGATACTATCAAAGATGCTGTATGTGATGATAATATACAAGATAAACCGCAAGAGGGTTTTAATAAAAGAGATCAACTACTTAAACTAGCTGAAGATGGTGATTTAGACAAGTCAGTTGCTTACATTAAAAAATGTAGTCAAAAAATTATTGATAAATTGTACACTGAATACGAGAAAAAACGATTACAAAAAGCTAATGAGTTTTAACTGACTTAGTTATATCAAAATTTTCAGATATATTAAAAGGGTTTGATGCTATTGAAGATCCCAAAGAATTAACAAAACAGCTTAAATCAGACGACCTTTTAAAACGAGATGTGTACAGTTTAGTAGAAAAAATATCACCAATCTTACCTTTTTTAGGGTTTTTATCTGGGGGTATAACAACTGTTAAACATGTTTACGAACATAAAAATAATAAACCGGATATAAAATCTGAGGAATAATATAAATGAGCTTATTTTATGGACATGATAAAACAGATATTAATGTAAATATACAAGGATCTGTAGATAAAACACATCTATCAGATAACTACTATACTAAAACTCAAGCTGATGGTAAATTTAATGACTACTACACTAAAACACAAGCTGATGGCAAGTATGCTTTGACCTCTAATTTACTAAAATATTATACCAAAACACAAGCTGATAATAAATATGTTTTTGTTTCAAGATTAGCCAACTATTATACAAAGAATGAAACAAATGGTAAGTATGCTTTAAGTTCTAATTTAAATAAATATTACACAAAGATTGAAACAGATGGTAAGTATGCTTTAAATTCTAATTTAACTAACTATTATACTAAAACACAAGCTGGTGGTAAGTATGCTTTGACTTCTAATTTAAATAACTATTATAATAAAACTCAAGTTGATAATAAATTTAATGACCACTATTATAATAAAACTCAAGTTGATAATAAATTTAATGACCACTATTATAATAAAACTCAAGTTGATAATAAATTTAATGACCACTATACTAAAACACAAGCTGATGGTAAGTATGCTTTGACTTCTAATTTAAATAACTATTATAATAAAACTCAAGTTGATAATAAATTTAACGACCACTATTATAATAAAACTCAAGTTGATAATAAATTTAATGACCACTATACTAAAACTCAAATAGATGATATAGTAAAAAGTAAAATTGTACACCATAGTAATCAATTAAATTACAACTCAAATGTTAGTAGTCAAAAAGATATTATAAATATTCTTTTTAACAATATTAAATTTATTGAATTCACACTTCTATTTATAAATACATCTGATAAATCTAAAACAATTCAATTAGATATTATGGTAGATAAGATTAATAAAAAATTTATCATTAAAATAAAAAATGATAATGAAAAAAAGATAGCTGATGCAATACTAGATTTATATTATGTATACTGTGTTTATGATGATTTAATCAATATTAGTATTATTATTGACCCAAAAGTATCAAACGCTTCCATTAATTATAATGAATGGGCAAGAAAATGGAATAAAGCATTTAATGGATTATCCAAAATACAAGTTTATTCACAACATACATCTACATTGTCTATGATATATAATGGTTTTTCATCAAATTTTGCGGCCACTATAGAAGACAATATTCTAGCAACTAAAAAATCTGTAAATGATGAAATCAAAAAATTAAAAAAATTTATTAAAGATAACTATCAAGCTAAGCCTAAAGATGAAGGTGAAGAATAATCCTCATGTTTGACTATATATCAAATAACTTTTGTAACAAGTAATTAATACAAAACGGTTTACCGCATATATACCTTATAATAACTGTTTCTGCAGGCAGTTTATAAAACATTAAATTATTAACACTTGATTATTAAAACGCGCTGGTGACATGTGCTAGCTACATTAAACAACCATTGTTAAAAACATGCACTAAGACACGCGCCTGACAGCCTCCTGGCAGGGCCGCTTAAACTCTATATTTTACCCACTGTCGCGATTTAGCTTCGCTAAATCAACAGCCTCCTGGCAGGGCCTTGTTAACACTTGATTTTACCCACTGTCGCGATTTAGCTCCGCTAAATCAACAGACTCCTGGCAGGGCCTTGTTAACACTTGATTTTACCCACTGTCGCGATTTAGCTCCGCTAAATCAACAGACTCCTGGCAGGGCCTTGTTAACGCTTGATTTTACCCACTGTCGCGATTTAGCTCCGTTAAATCAACAGACTCCTGGCAGGGCCTTGTTAACACTTGATTTTACCCACTGTCGCGATTTCGCTAAATCAACAGATCACTGGCAGGGCCTTGTTAACACTTGATTTTACCCACTGTCGCGATTTAGCTCCGCTAAATCAACAGACTCCTGGCAGGGCCTTGTTAACACTTGATTTTACCCACTGTCGCGATTTAGCTCCGCTAAATCAACAGACTCCTGGCAGGGCCTTGTTAACACTTGATTTTTGAAGAGCATTTTTTAAGCCTCTGTTATTCTCGAATATTCTTCGAATATTCATCGAATGCACGGGGGAACCCCGAATTTTCACTTCGTGAAAATTTTCCCCACCTGGGTTCTAGAATTCTCGGAAATTCCATTCCCCTGCTCGATCACTTCGTGATCTGCGCTGCCGAATTTCCTCCGAACCGATGCTTTATTAACAATTAATTCTTAAAGATAGTTTTTAAAGAGCATATGTTATGTCTGTCGTCCTTCGGACACCACGGCGACTCAATTTTCACTTCGTGAAAAATTTCCCACCATCGTCGCCTTAATTCTCGATTCCATCCTGCTCAATTTTAGCTACGCTAAAATTTGCGCTGCCGAGCCCTCTCCGAACCGATGCTTTATTAACATTTATTTGTAAAGACTGTTTGTAAAATTTAAACGCACCTATATATTTCAAAAACATATAGATTCCATATTTTTAAACAATTGTTTGTTAAAGATAGTTTTTACCCACTGTTTAAAAGTAGTATAGTACATGGGGTATATGAGAGCGCTTTTTGCGCTCTCGTACCCCCATGTAATATACTACTCATATATCAATACAACAAAATCAAAATGTGCTACAACTTTACAAGTATTTGATGCAGTTGCACTTCAGAACATCACAAAAAGGTTACTTAAAGTAATTTCTATACAATATTGTTTGTTTTCATTTACTAAACCTATGCAGACTTGAGTCTTTTTGAAATTTCATATGAAACTCAATTACAGAAAATCCGTAAATATCCAGAGATTTAATATTTACTTTTTTAAAGAAACAAGTAAAAATCCTACAATTGTGGCGAAAAAAGCCATTGCCCATTGCATGAAAAGAAGCAAAATAGCAATGATAACAAATAAGCTAACTTCTCTCTCGTGAACCGTAGAGATGAGCTATGATATACTTTTTTGTATTGACTAAAGAGTTTAATCGATCAAATAAGTTTGACGCTGGTAAGAAAACGACGCACATCTACATTCATACATGTGTAGCCGACATATAGGTCTTTCGTCGATAGTTATAAATGCATCCTCGTAGGAGCAGATAACTGACAACCACAGTTGACTCGCTGTTATGAATTTAAGGTTTTTGCCTTGATTTTCATCAAAAAATTGCTTGCCGAATCCCAAATACACACATACATTTTCCTCACTCTTTCCACAGGAGGGAGTGGGAAATTGTGAAATTTTCGGAAAAGCGGTCAATTTCGGTAAATCTCAGCGGCAAAGGACGAAATCCGCCATTTTTTTGGCGTCATCAGATATCTAAGGCCGCGCTTGAGATAGCCGCTCTAGTTATTATAGAACTCAATGGAAAAAACCAAAAAACATAGCGCGCGCCATTTTGTTTTGTTATTGGAGCGAAGATATTTTACAGTACCCTGTATCAGTATTTTTTATGAAATATTAAACACATAGGGGTTTCACCTCTTATTTATGCAATCACACATGTCTCATAAACGCAGTAAGCTGAGTAAACCAACGATTGATGAGCAGCTGCTGTCTGCAATAAGCAATGTCAATGCTCTTACAAATCAAGGTGTTCGAAGTAGAAGTAAAACTATTAAGAAGAAAAATGCCAGTAGAGATATAGTTCTTCAAAGAAACGAAGATGGCGAACGGATTATTCACAAGCCGAGGCAAAGCACTCCGAGCAATAGAAATACACAAAGAGGTATGTGCTGGGGAAATAATACTTTTATCAAAGAAATAGAAGCATTTTAGATTTTTGTGTAACTTGTATGTTACATTTTTATCTTAAATGTTGTTATCACTATCATAGATGAGGAAATGCCTACAACATCGTCAGATTTACATGATGTTCCACAGGAAATGTTATGTGATGACAATGTTACTGAGAGAGGTTATTGATAATCCTTCTTACATCTCAACTTTACATAACAGAAGCAAAACTTTTGTGCTGTCCAGGCCACTGCATCTATACATAGTCTTTTATATATATTTATACACATGTGACTGTGCTTTTAACACTTCAATGTACTCTTTTTATAATTGTGTCATATTTTAGAAAAAAAAATAGAAAAGGAAACAGCTTTACGTCATAAAATCATTTCATTTTCATTTTAGATCTTGAAGCCATTCTTGAAAGCTGTCAGTTGGTTATTGGAGAAGTGGATACTGGGCCATCTGCTTGGCAAAAAAGAATGGAAAATCGAGAAGAAAATTGGGAAAGTATGAGGGAAAAAATATTCAATGTCACTGTGTCATCATTTGCTCCTCCTTTATCTGCTATGAAGTGTTGTAGATGCAATGAAAATGAAGCTGTACTGAGATGCAGACAATGTGGTGTGTTGAGATATATTTGTCGAGAATGCAATGATGATGTCCATGAGAATAATCCTCTCCATGATCGAGAAGTGTGGTTGGATGGTTATTTTCAATATATCAAGCCAACACAATCCATTTCATCTGATGGAAAGATTTGCAGCAATGGTTAGTACAATGTACATACTATTGAATTTTTTGTAAATATTTGTTTTTTTTTGTTGTGCCCGATATGAGAGAAATGTTTTTCTGTGATGATGCTGTTATCTTTGTAGATCGATCATGTCCCATCCTTTAACCATCATCATGTCAGTTGTGTAATGAACCTATCATCAAAACTACCAACAGTTCTCTTGTGATTATGATCACTTGTGAAGGTGAAAATGTCCTTATGCAATTTTTTTACAGAGTCCAAATAACAATTTTTGATATATGGATGTACATATGATGCATCTTATTAAAATCGGATTTGTTAGGGGCTCATTATCTTAGTCACATTTAGAAAAGTACATAGGCAGCAAGTTGGATTATACACTAATTCATAGACTTTAGATTGAAACTAGAAACTTCAAATCATTGATGAAATTGCTGGCTTCTTATGAAACCCCAGGATTTGATTTCTTTGAAGCGCATATTTTCAGCACTGTACTGGTTATTTTTGATTATATTTTGTCTTCAACAGGACGATTTGATCTTAATTGGTTCACTGTACATTGCTCATCTTGTCAATGGAAGTGGTCACCAATTTCTGTTGACAGTATAATTGAGAGTGGCTGGTGGCCTGGTAGCCCTGAAAATTTTCTTTACATATTTAGTCAAGATGTCTTTAATTTGTGGGATGCATTTAGAAAGAGGATGCCTGGGTCATCACAATCTGCTTTTGTAAGAAGTTTGGAAGATATTTCCAGCTCTAGAGGAAGGGTGATTATTTTTTATGCTATCTACATATCTTTGTTAGTGTGCTTTTTACTTTGTGTGTATTTTTTGTCTTGCAAACCAAAAGCTACAAGAAATAAATCTTGATTTCAAAATAATCTTTTATGATCATTTCTTTCTGTGAATTTTGGTAAATTCTGGGAAGTCAAGGAAAATTTGTTTAAAATTTGTAACAAGCACATGTCAATTTTTGTAGGCTTCATATAATGTGTATGTTTGAAGTATGAGAACTATACTATAGTACAGTTGGGTTTTGCATAATCAACAAATAGTATATAATTGTGCTATGTTTTGATTTGGAACTGGTTTCACTAGGAAAATGTTATCAATTCAGTCACATTCAGAAAATCATTTGCTGAATGGAGCTATTGCCAACATGAAATTGACCTTCTTCATGAGCAGACATGGAAAAATTGCCCTCCTTATAGTATTGATCAACATTCATGTCATATTGATGGAAATCAAAAAGTGTACAGATTCAGCAAAGTACCAAGGTTTGTGATATTGGATGGCGAATTCTCAAACTTGTAAAAACGGAATTACCCTTTGTAAACGATTCAGATACTTTTATGTTTTAATAAATTGAACCGATTTAACAAATCCAAGAAAAAGACCTACTGCTCATGTGTGATTCTTTACCTGCATTGTTGGGTTTATGAGTGCTTGTGTTCTAAATTGATAACTTACTTTTACCACAGGGGTCCGGTCCAGTGTTATTATCGTGATGTATTGATTGCAAACAATAGTTTTGTGGACTCGCATTTAAAACGTCTTGGTTCAAAGTCAATTCAGGTAATGTGTTATGAAGTAGGATTGAAAGGTAGTAATCTATTATTAGGTTAAAGCATTTTTTATAGAATGAAGATAATTCTTGTGGCGACACCCATTGGAAAGCTGCAAAATGGTCTCCAAATCAAAAGAAAACCAAGACGAGACCGGACTTGAAGTTGCTGGATGCAGGCACTCGATTGCTCAAGCTACTTTGAACATGTTCAGAGGAGAAATTTATGGCTATGCTCACTACTTGCATATGAATTTTTTACAACCACATAAAGTTAAATATATGTGGGAAGATATTATATGCAAATATTGGCCTTGGGCTCTACGTGTTACATCGGAAGAAAATCAAAATGCGCTAAAAAATATTGCACCAGCACTGTCTATAATGCATGGGAAATCACACAGTTGGTCATGTCAGGTACGTTACATACGTAAGTTATGATTGTTTACCCAATAACTCGTAAGCTAAATACCGCATACGCAGACGATAATGCTCTATTAAAGATGTTATAAGACCAAGCGTGCTTTGTCAAACAGTAATAATACTGTATTTCACGTAACTAAACCGTGGTTACATAAATCTGAAATGGACTGTCTTGAATGAATAATTCTTTCTGTGAATTTTGGTAAATTCTGGAAATTCAAGGAAAATTTGTTTAAAATTTGCAACAAGCACATGTCAATTTTGTAATAATACTGTATTTCACGTAACTAAACCGTGGTTACATAAATCTGAAATGGGCTGTCTTGAATGAATAACTCTTTCTGTGAATTTTGGTAAATTCTGGTTACATAAATCTGAAATAGGCTGTCTTGAATGAATAATTCTTTCTGTGAATTTTGGTAAATTCTGGAAATTCAAGGAAAATTTGTTTAAATTTTGCAACAAGCACATGTCAATTTTGTAATAATACTGTATTTCACGTAACTAAACCGTGGTTACATAAATCTGATACAGTAATAATACTGTATTTCACGTAACTAAACCGTGGTTACATAAATCTGAAATGGGCTGTCTTGAATGAATAATTCTTTTCACACTTTTTAGGTTATTTGGAGCTAAAGATGACAAAGTGGTGCGGCAGCAACTGTTGGCGAAGAAGTTGAGCAAAAAAATTCGTATTTTTCAAGACTTGGCTCGACTACTAAAAATATGACGGCCTCCGGTAGGTATTACTTTGTTATCTGCATATCCACTCAGGTTTTTTGGTCGATTAAGTCCACGAACTAATGTGCACATTAATGGTTGTACGTATTAAGGACGAGAAGAATGCATTACTGAACATCTTCTGAGTTGGAACAAGCGAAAACTTTTAAACTTGGCAAAATCACTTGTTATTCAAATGAAAAAGGTTACAAGTTGTATATGTCTTCAGTTAATTGTCAAAATTATACTAGTGTGAGTTCATGATTCTAAAGTGTGCTACGTACGTGTATAAAATGGCATGAAATTACAGTTCATAGTTGTGTATAGGTCTTATTTGAACCCAATACGTTTACTGCAATAATATGATTCTTTTTCACTATTTTTCATGTGTACTTGTATTTCGAAGCCCGAAAAGCAACTTTCATCTGCCAGGGACGATTTTGTAAAGTTAAGAAGCGAACTTAATGTCCAGGATTCAGACTTGGACGACTCGATAATTCAGTGGAAAGAAGTTCAACAATTTGCCAGAGGTAACATTGTTTACTTTCAAATATTTAAAGATGGATTTCAAAATAGCAAATACCATGGTGAATGGTGATAATAACAATGTAATAGTTCTTAAAAGAACTGTTTTAACCAGAACACTAACCCAACATTTCAAAGGAACCGTTATTTACAGCTAGAAAGAGACACTATGCATTTCGGCAGACTACTCGTCAGGTGTCAACGTCTGCTAAATGAGAACCTACAAACCATGCTATATTTATAACGTTACAAAAGGTCAATGTCATCCCTATTTTTAGAGATGACACTTGAAACAGAGACAGATTAAACACGTAATCGTTTTGTCGGCAAAGGACAGGATTAGTCAATTTAATTAATACCGACTCCATGACGCGTAGCTGGAATAACGAGCGACATTTTTTAATATTCTACAGTTCTCATCAGAATAAGCATTGGCACAGCGAGTGTTGCTCAAAAGATTTTTTCCAATCGCTGAATCACATAGAATCGGATTTTCACTTTTACACCCACGTTTTGGTAGTTGTCGTAAAGGAACAGTTTTGTTCCTGACAGAAGCTGGTACATGCTGTTTTATTCTTTCACTCAACCTTTGAGAAGTCCTACCTACATAGCGAGCATCACACTCACATTTTAACTCGTAGACTACATTGCTTGATATTTGAGCAGGGAGAGACTCTTTGGGAGTGGGTGGAAGAATAGTTCTTTTTGAGAATATAAAGACCACATTGCATGCAAAAAACAAACTCTCGGTGATATTTTTAGTTTCCTTCCCGATGTCATTAGAGGCCTTACCCATCCAGGGAAGTTTAAGGAAAACAGGGCACTTGGCCAGTCCGAAAAGTTTATTCCGTTCATTGTTAGTGGATAAGAAATGTTTGTCTGAGAACTTTTCCGGATATCCATTTAACACAAAAATATTCTTCAGTGAGATAAGATCACTATCAATAAACTCTTTTGACGACAATCTATGCGTTCGCTTTATCAAACACTTCACTAAAGAAATCTTTTCTCTATGCGAAGAGAAAGAGTCAAAGCGCGTGTACAAATATATTCTAATCTAACGATGTGTTCTTTCGATGTAACTAGTCTCTTCACTTATGTGCCTTAGAAGAAACCATTGAAATTTGTGCTCAGAATCTTTTTCACTCGGACATTACTTTGCCGGACATGTCTGAGAATGTCTTTAGAGAACTAATGATGGCTGCCACAAAGGGTGTGGAGTTCAGTTTTGATGACACCATTTATAAACAAATTGAAGGGGTGGCTATGGGTTCTCCACTTGGACCGGTTCTTGCGAATATTTTTGTTGGCCATCATGAATGCAAAATGCTTGCATCTTCAGATTGTCCGGATGTGCTGTGGTATAAGCGTTATGTGGATGACACCTTTTCTTTGTTTCATAACGATAAAAAACGTGAACTTTTTCTTAATAAACTTTGCTCTCTTCACCCTGCACTAAATTACGGGAATGTACTTGAAAAACTTTAAAAAGCTTGTTTGCTATTTTATAAGACTTTAATAAATAAATGTGCAGTATTTACCAAAACTTGAAATAGGGATTCAAACACTTTTCCAGAAGGGCAAGCCAAAGCAATTTGATACACTATGGAAGATATCATAATACTGACGATCAACAAAATCCCCTTTACTAACTAGAGTCAAACAATCAACTAGCTTTTTTAGATGTTCTTGTACACAAACGCAATGGTCAGTTCTTAACAAGCATCGCAAGGTAACTTCATCGCAAGGTAACTTTCACTGGTTTGTACACAACTTTGACTCTTTCTCTTCGCATAGAGAAAAGATTTCTTTAGTGAAGTGTTTGATAAAGCGAACGCATAGATTGTCCTCTATAGAGTTTATTGATAGTGATCTTATCTCACTGAAGAATATTTTTGTGTTAAATGGATATCCGGAAAAGTTCTCAGATAAACTTTTCTTATCCACTAACAATGAACGGAATAAACTTTTCGGACCGGCCAAGTGCCCTGTTTTCCTTAACCTTCCCTGGATGGGTAAGGCCTCTAATGACATCGGGAAGGAAACTAAAAATATCACCGAGAGTTTGTTTTTTGCATGCAATGTGGTCTTTATATTCTCAAAAAGAACTATTCTTCCACCCACTCCTAAAGAGACTCTCCCTGCTCAAATATCAAGCAATGTAGTCTACAAGTTTAAATGTGAGTGTGATGCTCGTTATGTAGGTAGGACTTCTCAAAGGTTGAGTGAAAGAATAAAACAGCATGTACCAGCTTCTATCAGGCATAAAACTGTTCCTCTACGACAACTGCCAAAACGTGGGTGTAAAAGTGAAAATCCGATTGTATGTGATTCAGCGATTGGAAAAAATCTTTTGAGCAACACTCTCTGTGCCAATGCTTATTCTGATGAGAACTTTAGAATTATTAAAAAATGTCGCTCGTTATTCAAGCTACGCGTCATGGAGTCGGTATTAATTAAATTGACTAGTCCTGTCCTTTGCCAACAAAGGGATTACGTGTTTAATCTGTCTCTGTTTTGAGTGTCATCTCTAAAAATAGGGATGACATTGACCTTTTGTAACGTTATAAATATAGCATGGTTTGTAGGTTCTCATTTAGCAGACGTTGACACCTGAACGAGTAGTCTGCCGAAATGCATATTGTCTCTTTCTAGCTGTAAATAATGGTTCCTTTGAATTGTTGGGTTAGTGTTCTGGTTAAAACAGTTCTTATAAGAACTATTACATTGTTATTATAACCATTCACCATGGTATTTGCTATTTTGAAATCCATCTTTAAGTTTGTCACCACGACAAAGTCTCTGTTTCAAATATTTTTAGAAACATGGTTTAGTATTGTACAGTTCCGTACTTATGGTTGATTTTTGTTGAAACATCATTTAAAACAAACTATATTAAATAATTCTTGGCCTGTCTCAAATTTTTATGTTTGGCAATTGTTATTTCTAACAATTCATTTTACCCCCCTGAAATATATAGCTATACAGTATTGTATGGAGAGCTTAGTAATTACGTAGATAAATTAATATTTTTTATTGTTTGTCTAGAACAACAAATTGGAGTTTCTTCGTTGAAAGGTGCCGCCGAAGAGTTCTTCCTTTTGCATCAAACTGTTGAAAATGCTCAACATTTGGAGAATTTTGTAAAAGCCAACGATGATCAAATGCAGACATTATTGGGTGATAGGCGTTTCGTTCATGACGCTCAAAACAGAGTGGAACAACTTGAACAAAATGCAAAAAGATTGCTTGAATTGAAAAGACAGCTTTTACATGGACATGTGAGAGAGGAGCAGCTTCTTGAGCAAAGAAAGTCGTAGCTGGCAAAAATCACAGTAGCAAAGCTGCAGAAGAGATTGGAAATGTTGTATTTTTCAGTCACTAGACGCACAAAAGAAATAACTTCTCTTGCTGGTGAGTTTTGTTTGGGTTTTTTTATTAGTAACTGTAGGCATTATTTTAAAGTTCGTAGCAAAATCTAAGTGAGTTAGATTTTAGATGTAGGCGACACAAAATGCAAAATATGGAACAGTTTTTATTCGAGATAAATTGTGCTTTATATAAAAGTAAACGGGTAAATACCATCTACACCATCCTCGTAGAAATATGTAGACTTATATTTATGGGCCACCCTACACTTATTTTGTGGCGAGTTATTTCAAAGCATTTTGCCTAATTATTGTAAAATTGCGGTGTGTCGTTAATACGTATATTATACATGCACGTACTGTAGATTCTAGCAAACGAAGATATTTAAATTTCTGATCCCTCTGAGATAGATTTATTGATTTAACTGTCGCTCATTCTCACTCACGTAACCAAAAAAGCTATGAATGGCTACTAGCCACTTCAATTCCAGTAAATAGCTCTCAAGAAAGTAGTTACTACGTACATATTTATATCTCAGACAACCTGGATGTAATGGAGCCATTCACCTTTTGCAGCTGTTATAAGTTCTTTGTTAACAAAAGTGATTGAAAACATGTTTCATCAAGATTGTAGACATTTCTTTTTTAAATTTGGTTAATAAATTGTGCAATTGGTACTTAACTCTATGAAAGCAGCCTTTACCGGTTTTTCTAAGATGAATGGCAAGCAATACGTCACCAATTGCTTTATAGAACGTCAAGGTATGATGTAGGAATGTATGCAGAAAAAGTCGTTTGATGTATGTTATAAACTATATATCAAACACAATATTATTACTATACATAATAATATTACTTTATGTTACAAATTGTTCCTTCTTTAGTGTTACACTCCGTCCATATAATAGCGGACAGTAAAATATTGTGACGTCGTTGTGACGTAGGTGAAAACACTCACTGTTTACAGCCTATGCATTGTATATAATGTATATAGTGTATATAGTGTGTATAGCCCATACAGTGTTTGTAGTGTATACAGCCTATAAAGTGTATATAGTGTATATAGTGTGTATAGCCTATACAATGTATACAGTGTATATAGCCTATATAGTGTATATAGTGCGTATAGCCTATATAGTGTGTATAGTGTATATAGTTATATAGCCTATATATAGTGTAAACAGCCTATACAGTGTATATAGTGTATATAGGCTATAAAGTGTATATAGTGTATATAGCCTATATAGTGTATATAGTGTGTATAGCCTATATATCGTGTGTATAGTAAGAGTGTATCGAAAAGTTATATTATGGTAAAAAGTTCTTTTTAACTAGATGCGCGCGGTACAGGGGTACAGCTGGAAAAGAAAGTTTCAAAAATGCAAAATGTTATAGCAGTGAAATATCAGCTGGTAAAAGTCCTTCAAAACAGGCCTTGCGCACAAAAAATTTTAATTGAGAAGACAATTTAATTATCCCGAGTGAAAATTTGGAGGAGGTTGTGCAAGCTATCTAATTGCAAGCAATTTAAGGGCAAGCGCTGGCCAACGCAAGATCTTTAAAACACTTGAATTTTTTTTTTGCTTTTTTGCATTTCACCTACCTTACAAATTGGCTTCTTAATCTCATATTATACTTTATTCAATTTGCAAATAAATCATTACCAGCTGTACCAGAGAACGTTAACATACACATGCGCGTCTTATTTTAGAGAAACTTTTCCAAGAGTCTACCTTTTTGATACACCTGGAATATAGTTCGTTGGTTGTTGGCGTCTTAGTGTTTCTTTTTGACGCAACAGTTGACGCTTTTTTCTGAATTTATTTTGCATCTCCATAAAGAAAAACTTTTAAATCATCTTATTTTTGGGATTAATAGGTGAGCAACACTTGAATAAAACTACGTACGTGTATCACATTAATATTTTAGATAATAAATGAGCTCTAGTTATTCTAAGACATATCGCAAATTTTATAATTTAATCTATTTATTTTGGAATATTTTTTAATGCAATTATGAAAGAATGAATGTATGATCTATGAAATAGAACATATATTTAGCATTTCATCTATTGTTGTATTTTCCAATGCTCTGTCACTAGGCTGCGACTACAGATATTTTTCATACGTCAATTTTTACGTGAGAAAGTGCATCTCATTTCATTTGGTTATAAACTATATATCTATGTGACAACTAGCATTCAAGTTATTGTTTGTGGAAATTTAACATAAAGTGTAACAGTGAAATCTGCACAATATCATCAGGCATTAAATATTTCACTATTGGCTGATTTCTAAAGAACATGACATAAGCATCCGCATAAACGTAAACTTAAAAAATATTTAACTCAAATAAGAACAAATGAAGAATTGAATAAAAATTCCACGATATCTTTGTTTTTGTAAACATCTTAGTAAAAGAAACTAAAGTCTTTTCGCTCATGTTCATTCCACTGTTGTAAAACATGCATAAACGTTTTAGCACGCTGCCTTACCCTACACTTTTATTCCATCAAAATCACCATTTTCCATTCATTGATATACCGTGTAAAAACTTTAAGAAATAACTTACAAGAAATTTCTCTACGAAGTTCAAAGTAGTTATAAATGTCTTATTTTACGACTCGGAAATTTTTTATTTGGACTTCTTACGAGAGATGACGCGCATAATATAAAATCTGTTTTTTTTTTAATACAATGATATCAAACAAAAATATTTCCACTTGAAGATCGGGTACAAAAATAGAAAATTTAGAAAAATAGAAAATAGAAAGTTTCTTTACGAAAACAATAAAATCAATAAAGAAAAAAAATGCGGAAGATTTACGTAGTTATATATTGTGAGTAAAATCATCTGGTCCAGCAACAAACATTCTATCAACTGGCCAAATGTAAACTTGCCAGGTCTTACGACATCTTCGTCGAATGGACCAGGCAATGGTGGAGCAACTGCTTTCCCCGGTACCACACAAATAAAAAGGACTGATAGGTAGCCGGGAGTCACGGGCCGATTATGCACCTTCGACATTCCTGAGACACATCCAAAACAACACACTACACATAAACGTAAATAATACTAATAAACGTATTAACACGATTAATATTATATTATATTATATTATATTATTAATATTGTTATTAATATTAATACTATAGTTACATAAACGTTTTAGCACGCTGCCTTACCCTACACTTTAATTCCATCAAAATCACCATTTTCCATTCATTGATATACCGTGTAAAAACTTTAAGAAATAACTTACAAGAAATTTCTCTGCGAAGTTCAAAGTAGTTATAAATGTCTTATTTTACGACTTGGAAATTTTTTATTTGGACTTCTTACGAGAGATGACGCGCATAATATAAAATCTGTTTTTTTTTTAATACAATGATATCAAACAAAAATATTTCCACTTGAAGATCGGGCACAAAAATAGAAAATTTAGAAAAATAGAAAATAGAAAGTTTCTTTACGAAAACAATAAAATCAATAAAGAAAAAAAAAATGCGGAAGATTTACGTAGTTATATATTGTGAGTAAAATCATCTGGTCCAGCAACAAACATTTTATCAACTGGCCAAATGTAAACTTGCCAGGTCTTACGACATCTTCGTCGAATGGACCAGGCAATGGTGGAGCAACTGCTTTCCCCGGTACCACACAAGTAAAAAGGACTGATAGGTAGCCGGGAGTCACGGGCCGATTATGCACTTTCGACATTCCTGAGACACATCCAAAACAACACACTACACCATTCTCGTTGGCTAATGCTACAACAGTTCCTAAGTATACATGAAACAATTTAAATTCAAGACATAGCCATTCGCTTCGTTGATCACTATTTATGACAGAAGAAATATTACTACGCATCATCGGCATGTACGTAGCTGCCAAAGAACCAAATCAAGTTTTAACATTTTAAAGCTGAAAATTGTCATGTGTGTTTGGACATGCTTATTGTTGTGAAATGTGTTCAATGTTGATGACAAAATTAATCAACATAAGATTGAACTTGTTTTGCGACAACCTAAAAACTTCTAAGAACCTAAAAAATCAACCATATTCATGCTAAAACCTATGTACACTATTCCTGACTTGTGCTAAAAGTTGCTGTAGGGACTGATAGAGCCGTCGTTTTAGATATGGTAGACACAGATGTTGTAGCGACGAAGGAGCTTGAAGAAAGGGAAGAAGTGGTTGAAACAGATGAAGAAATGCCGATGGAGGTACATCCACTGGAAGAGGCCAGAATGGTATTAGTGCTAAAAGAATTAGTGAAGACATTTGTATTGGTATTGGTAGCAGCAGAGAGGAAGGGAGATTCGAAAGTCGCGGAAATCGTATTAAAATGAAGATCTTTGCGTATAGGAATGAATGTTGAAACAGCGCTACTAACTGGAAGAGAGGTTGTAACAGAGCTACAAAGAGTTACAGAAGATGCTGAAATAAAAGTGGAAACAGAAAACGACACGGAAGGGGAGGTAGAGGCAGGGATGGTATTTGTAGATGAAAAATCTGTAAATGGACTATCTTCATTTCTATCTTGCCATAACTTCTTCATCCCGGTTTGAAACATGTTTCTGGCTGATTTTCTAATTAAACCACTGCTGCTAATAAAATCTGTCGCCAAGCCAAGAGTTGCAGCATAATCCCAGACGGTTGGACCTCCAGTGGTTGATGGGTGATAATACATTACCACCACACGATAACCGTGGTTCTGATGAAAAGTCTGAGCCTACAAAAAAAGTCCAAATCCGAAACCAATCGAAATATTCATTGATATTTTAACATCTGCTCCAATACCATAAGATAAATAAAAGAACACATATCTAACTCTTTTCATCAGCAGCATTTTCTGTCTTATCGTGGTCGAACATTGTGGTATTGAGACGGAAGAGGGCCTCTTTGGAATGAGCTGTCCACAGTTGGAACATCCCTTACATGCATTGCCCACCGCAGTAGAGCAATTACTTCATATTTTCTTTCGAGAAGTTGTCTAAAAAAATTCTTGTCCTCTATAACATAGAAGTGCACCACCAATTAGGT